GGCAAAACCATAGATTGAAACACCCCATTACGCATTATGGTGTCATGCATCTTAGGTTGTGCACCTCCAGAACTTAAGTTCATTCTAGATACAACTAAGGCATCTTTTGCATATGATGTATGGTTAGAGCTTTGATCAAAAGCAAATATAGCAACACAATCAGGAAACATTTGTTCAAAGATAGGTATTGCTTTCATTTTTAACTATTAAATATAGATACAATTTTGATTTAAATTAAATAACTCTTAGTTTATGGATAATAAATAAATAAATAATATATATATAGATCTTACTTGATCAACAAGATTATCACTTGTCCAATATCCATCACGATTGATCCCAGGTCCAATAATGGTACATGCATCATCTTCAGGAATTCTTTCATTCTCAGGTAAATTACTGTTATGTTCCTTTTCTACTTGTCCTAAGCGTAAACGTCCAATAGGTTCACATAAAATTCACTAACATGAAGGCTGGCACCTTTATTTTTTGGATGTAAAGGTTGCTCATTATTTGGCCCCCAAAACTTATCCAATCCATCATTAGAAAAGAATATAGATTCATCATGAGTTACCAGTATATGAATCTTTTCATCAGAATTTAAGGATGGCCAAGTCACTTGTTCCATATTTTCACCATCAAAGATAGGCATGTACCTTTCATAAATTTTCATTTGATCTAAAAATTTTTCACGATATTCAACTACATCATCTCTTTCATGTCCATCAACATAAATGTCTTTTCTATATTTATTATAAGACCATCCCATTTTGCTAAGCCATCTATGTGCAGTCCTGTCACTAATTTTTTTTTCCTTCTCATATCCTAATGATGGAAGTATCACATCTGAAACATGATTAATAAAGTCATGAAGTCTAAAATTAACCTTTTTAGAACATAAATATTGACTTATCTTAATTTGAATATCTTCCATCATTTAATGCAGATTTGATCTTCTGATGTTTCCCACATTTTGAGGAAACCAACATTCCTTTTTTTTTGTATTGGGATGTCCAGGATCTTATTAATCTAGACATCCATGGGCCACGGTTTAAACTCTCTGCAAGCATCTTACTTACTTCCATTTTTGAACCACCATTCTGTACTAATCTCAAATATTGGGCAACATATCTTAATCTATAATCTTGAATTTTATTTTTTTTAATTTCTTCCTCAAGCTGCTCTAAAGTAAAATTAGATGAATCCTCTTCACTAAATTCATCAAAATCCTCTTGAATGAAGTTAGATGGGACTTCACTTGATTCATCTTCTAAATTCAAATTATCTTGTTTGACATTAGATGTGCTTGATTGTTCTGCATTTTGAACCTGTATGTTTAAATTTTTATTTTTAAAGTTTTGAATTTATTTATCTTTATGTAATGAATGATTTGTTATTTACCTGGAAAAAAGATTTAATGCTAGCTGTACCTTCAGCTGCTTTTTTTAAAATGCTCTTATTTCTATAAAATGTTCTTGATGAAGAACCAGTATAAATTTGAGGTCTTCCTTCTGTTTTCCAAACATCTTTATCTTTACTTGCACTAATTAATTTATTAAATGCATCATCATCTAATTCTTCAAACATGCTTTCATTAAACCATTCATCACCAGAATCATCAGTCTCATAAATGAAATCATCGTAATCAATTTCTTCTTCACTTGATGCATTTTTTTTATTCAATTCATTATCTGACTTTATTTTTTTAATATTTCTAGCATCACTTAAATGTGCAGCTTGTTTATTTTTTCTTGGCATTTTTTTAATTTGTTAGTAATGTATTGTTTGTTGGTTACTTATGAAAAAATATATATATATTAATATGACGTTGGTTTTCTGAACCAAATTTTATAATTTGCTCTGGTCACGGGTCTCGGTGATCTTTTCCCAAATAGGAAGGATCATCTTGTGCCAAATTTCATTTTCGATAGTAAAATCGTCCAACTTCAAACCACTAAGGCTTTTTTTTTTATTAGTAAAATTGAAAAAAGCTCTCTATTTCATTGTTGCTTAGGTTCTAAAGATTGCAAAAATAGAAAG